CCACGAGATTCTAAATTACCTCTACCATTAGTAGAGTAGTTCTCAACTTACAATTGGCAAAATGTTTCTTTTTTTCTTGCTTAGTAGTAAGAAACTAAACTTAAATATTATATTTCAAAAAAATTGACTTGATTGTTAACAGACATGACCAAAATAGAAGTAAAAATTAATAAGCAGGCGGAGTTTTGTCACTGAGTGGCTCAAGATTGTGGCCCACGAGATTCTAAATTACCTCTACCATTACTAGAGTAGTTCTCAAGTTTTCAAAATGTTTCTTTTTTTCTTGTTTAGTAGTAGGAACCTCTCAGTTTAAATTTTAATTAGAAGACATTTTCAAAAAAATGTTCATATAAGTATACCTGTGTAGGTACATGAATACATAATAATTAGTAACACGTGCACATTCTACAGTAGTTTTCGCTGAAATAACGAGGTGCCTATATATGAATACAGGAATAGTCATGAACTGGCAAAAATATGTCGTAAATCTTGCTATTTTGCCAAAATATTTAAATTTGCACGTAGTCAGTGTTAATTTTCCCGAGTTGCGATAATTTTTGATGAAAATGTAACCTGGGTGACAGCCCCAACTGTAAAACTTGGTGCGACTTTAATTTGGCAAACTGCTACTAACATTTCGAACAAAGATGGCTTTGTCCGACATGGACACAGTAACGCATTGATTGTATAACACCTGATAGTAAGTATTGCGCCTTCTAAATACGAAATAAGATAGGTAAACAGCATTTACATATGATTATTAATTAGATAATAAACTTGGATGCGTATTAATATAAATAGCCAAAAAAATAATACATAATGAACTTTCAATGGCGCAACTGCGAAAAAGCATTTAAAATTGAATAAAGTACAACTTCTTAACGTCTAATTCACACCATTAGTCAGATCATGGTCAGATCAATTTATCGTTGGAGAGAATTACCGTGGTGAACTGATTGGACCATGAATTGACCGTTCTTTATGGTATGAATACCGCGATATAAAATGAATGGTTGAGTCAATTTCTGTCCAACGATAATTTATTTGATTTGACCACTATTGAACCATGATTCGGCCGACAGAATAAATCGAGCTAGCTCTTTCAGAAACACTTGGTAGGAAGAAAATTTCCCACGCTATTTGATAAATATTAATTAAATTAAATTTTAGATCTGTTGGTTGGTACTAACAGGTTAGCTTCCGAAACATATGATAAGAGTTATTAGGTTTTCACGGCTGCCGTTATCTGGATGTTTGATATTTGGGCTCGATGACGATGATCTAGGATTCTATTTCCTCCACCTGTAAACGACTTCATCGGTCTTTTCACCGAAGGAAAAAGAATCCTAGATCAGGGCCATCAAGACCTAAGTACGTTCGTTGATTGTGCTCCGTATTCCGTCGAGGCCAACAAGACTGCATGAACCCTTTGCCATCGCGAGAAAGCGAACGGATGTTGGACGTAACGATACCTTCGTCAGAGCTTCGATTCTAGCAAACGGGCTTTCGCAATCGGCAAACTTTTTTTGTGATTCAAAAACCGTCCTTAAGCGAAAAGTAGCAACCTACCTGACTGAATTAAGGCTGTCATATACTGCTAATCGAGGCTTATGTAATATACGATTGTTTACTTTATAGAACTATTCATGATTATATTTATATTGATCTCGTTATCTTTTTTATACACTTTGTCAAAGCAAATTATTCATACATTACTATTAATTTCTACTCTGTATACTTTTTCAAGGGTATTCCCCGTATAATAAATAAATAAAAATTTATAAACGACTCCATCGGTCTCATCACCGAAAGAAAAGGAATCCTAGAGCACGGTCATCAAAACCGAATATCAATCATTATTCATTACACATTCACTGTTGTAAAGAATAATGTGGAGAGATTTGAGTAAATGAATCAGAACTTTGATCGGATTCAGGATCGACGTTGAAACTATCATGAACAACTGTATTCCAAACTAAACGATGGCTCTGCAGCACTACTATTTCAGCGGAAATAGGTAATTTACAGAAAAACATTTTTTAAGGTTGTCGTTGTGAAGCAATAAACACAAAGTGTTGACAGATGAAGTTGAAATAAATAAATACAGAATTCATTTAGATGTGCTACTATATAAACAAAGTCTAGATGTTTGAAAAACGGAAAAACTATTCCGTTACTTTTCTAATTTGCACGGTTTTGTTTATTAATGGGAACAGTATAGAATAAATACCAAAAGGGAAGAAAATTTTCACATTGAAATTGG